GGGGGGGGGAGTTTCATGGTAATAAGATGGTTTCTGGGGCTCACCCTTTCCCCCATCAATTCCTCTAAGGCAGCCATGCCAAAAATGGTTCAAAACACCAAAGTTCATGCTCAGTAATCCAGGTACAAATCCAACAATGTTCAGTCAGCTCATCTGGACAGTTACTTTAACTATGGTTACCTTGGACAAAACACTGACTACTGTACTTAAAGAGGGTCCTGAGCCTTAACCTGCCTTCTTGCTGTGGGTGTGTGGAGGTCTAATTAGCTTCTGAAGCCACTTTGCCATTGATAAGTGCGACTCTACTCGGCTCTTATCGGTTCTTCTCAGGTATAGGTGATTTGCCACTGTGACTTGTTTCCCAGCTCTGTGGGTGGGATTGTCAATGCAAAGCAGGCGGTGTAGTAACAGGTCATTGTGTTCAAGCCACTCCGCCCATTGTAATCCTGAATTGCTCTATAATCAGTCTGCAATTTCTTTAGCTTATCCCGGCACTGCTTATAAGTCTGGGTGTAGCCATGTTGCACCATCGTCTCCAATATCTCTTGGTAAATACACTCATTTCTAGTGGCGCCGTCCGTCAACATGGTCGTAGAGGAAGTGGAGGTTCAGATGTAGTTTGCAGTTTTGCTGGGTGGGTCATCCGGTGAGGTAGCTACGCTGGCCAATCAACGGCTGCTGTCTGCTTACGTCAAAACCGTTGCCTCGGAGCAGTTCGCTTGAAATCACGAACAAGGTGGTCCCATAAACCAGGCTTAGTGGGGGTGGGTACTAGAGGATGACATTTTTTCGGGAGTACCGCGGGTCACGTGATTCCGTCCGGATTCTGGCAGGACCGGAGTCAACCTCACTATAACTCACGTGACCGGGACGTGACTGAAAGTTAACGGGAGCAGACAGGAGCGGGAACCGACCATTAACCAAAAATGAAAATGAAACAAACAAACAAAAACAACTGCGCAGCTATTATGTAGTTTTCTTTCAGTAAGCCTTTACTTTCACTTTTTGTTTTTACTGTAACTGACCTTCAAAAGAGCTAGAAACAGGGACTCAGCAGCTGATCCTCCATAGAAAAATTATATGGACTACAGGCCATGTATTATTTGTTTTATGACATTTAGTGAAGGTTTTTGTTCGGATTAAGGCAATAAATGTCTATTTCACCACAGATGAACTGTTCCTGTTGCCATATCTTTTGAAATAAAACTGCACAACACAAAGTAATTTAAACAGGAATGGGTAGAAGATTAAATCAAATCAAATCTATTTCCTAAAAATTAAATTAAGATAAAAAAAATAAAAAAAACAGGAGTGGGACAGGACAGGATTTTTTCTCTGGGACCAGGACAGAAGTGAAAATCCACTCCTGTGTCATCCTCTAGTGGGTACTGGACGTGGGGAGGCCCTTAACTGGTGCGGTGGGGTGCAGAACCGATGAGAGTTGAGACAGTGGCAAAGCGTCATAAAAGATGGAGTGACAGCTGGTAAGGGACCACCAACCTGGTGATAACAGAAGGACAATTTGGATCTGGTTTTAAACCATTAAGCTGCAAGTCAATAAAACAATCTGCTTCCAGTCCGATACTTCCTGATTATTCCGACAGTCCGGCAGAATGATTAACCTCCTAAACTAAATTCTAAAGTGAAATAGTTATTAAAATAGCTTACATTGCCAAAAATCTTGGTGCATTTAATTCTAAGCATAATGTATTACAAACATTCTGTTCAAAATTCCTTTTGCCTTAAACTTATCAGTCTTGTTTATAATATTTAAATTGTAAATTCTGGCTTTAGAGTATTATCTTATTAAATGAAATTAATATAAATGTTTAAATCAGTTTTTTTGTATTTTAAGTGTTAATATAATTTTGTGCCAGTTGTTTGTTAATCCTTATTGTTTTTTGATTTGTATTTTGATTTTGTTTAATTTTGTAATAAAGTTTTAAAATGGCAAATTTAGTTTCTTTATTGGTATGTTAGGATTAATAATTCCCTGGAACTGAACAGATGCTGTCCTCATGTCAAGAAACCATAAACAAAGTTTCGTAACAGTTAATGTGAGCGCTGTTATTTCAACTTTTTCGTCGTCATCCGTGTCATATCGCATGGTTAATGTGGCAGGAATATTATAAAATTTCTGCCAGGGCTGACCCCTGGATGCAAAAGAAATTCTGCATCTAACTGCTAATGCTAGTCAAGCTTGGCAAAAACAAATTCGCATAAATAAATACCACGGTAATGTGAAACTGATGGTGGCAATAATATTTTTTTTTTAATTTAGTCACAAGTGAAATATCCATTACATTTTCATAAAACCCCACTATAGAAAATGTCAAAGTCAACTTTATTGTCAAAACTGCAATATGTACAGGACATACACAGGATTGAAATGCCATTACTCTCAAGACACCCTGGTGCAACAATAACCATTAAACACTAAACATTTAATAAACATTAGCATAAAAGGAAATAATAAAAGTATGATACTATCCTAAATTGTAAGTATAGCAGTATAAATATAAAAAGTATGTCTATAAGTATGAAGGTCCTGACATTGACATTTGAAGTAAAGTGACAAAGCAACATATGAAGTGAATGTATGAAGTCATTGATATAAAGGTAAAGTGACATATGCAATATAGTAAGGCAGTATATTAGAAAAATCACACTTTAAAATGCTAACTAGTACAAAATCATGTTGCTGCCACCCTATCAAACAAAACAAAATTATTTCACATTATATTAAGGTGTAAAGTATACTGTCCAAATTATCATTTTCATACAACAATACTGTTAAATTTTTTTCCCACAATATTACAACACTCACGTC